TAAGAAGAGAAAATAAAGTCTAATAACAACTGAAGATGCCTCAAATTTTGTCGGCTGAACCAGTACCAATAAGCTAAGTGTGAAACATAAACAACTTCTAGATGGAGCTCAATAATTACAACGAACGCAATTAATGGAAGCATGTCATCTTACTAATTTATTTTATCAATAATCTTGATACATATACATCCAAATGCATAAACAACAGGCATACACATCCTTAATAGAGCGTCTTACCACTATGCAGTGATACGAATTCTTTACATCGATTTCTAAGGGAGAACAAAAGAAAATCCGTCATAGAAGCATCTGAAATTCACAAATAAATATTACTAACAAGACTCTGTTCACAATCAATATTACTAACAAGACTCTGTTCATAATCAACTTTGTACTATGCTGCTTCATCCGCTTTGATGACATTTCTGGCTTGGTTTTCAGAAATTTCAGGTTTCCCATTAAAGACTTTAATTTCCAAAAATTGGAATCAGTTTTCTTATTAAACCTGACTGTAATTAAGTGGGATAAACCACAGTCCTGCAGGTCTCACTACTGCTGATCTCAGCTGTGTCTTTAAATTTCAGTAAATTGCTACATTTCTCATTTAATCCCACTCATAAATCCAACTCTTGATGAGGTTGAATTTTCCGAAAGATAAGATCATCTCCTTCACTAATTTTTCAGAGTTTCATTTGGACGGTGAACCAGGTAAATGAAAATGAAAAAGAGATTGGAAACGACTTAGTGATGAGATACGGGAAGTAGTTCAAAACGAATATATAGACCTTGAATCATCATACAGCTTGTAAAAAATGTTACATTATAAAAAATAAAAATAACAAAGACGATCTGCTTACCCATTACTTTGCACCTTTTATTCTTCTCAGTGAATTAGAAGACTTGAATAACAGATGTGCTTAGCCACAGAACATCCTTGACTTACAGATTTAAAAGATGAACTACGCAAAACCGCTTTCATTATTTCTAAACTGAAATTTATAACATGAAAAAAACTAAACAAACAGAAGGGAGAAAGAAGTTCTCTTCTAGATTTTGCCAGAATTTCAATATTTTCGATAACATGGTAAGCAATAACAATTCATAAGCATGCTTCGGACATCACATTACTCGGTGGTATGAGTTGTCGTAATCAATTTAAGAATAAAACATGAAAAAATTTATGAAACTTGTATATGAGAAATCTAATTCGTCAATTTGATGAACAGCCACGTTTTACATCCTCTCAGTATTCAAGACCAATTCTTCAGACATTCTTTCTTCCAGAATATAAAACAGTTGCTGGTCGATAGTTTGGTCGGATTAGAAGAGAAAGCGGCTCTAAGTAGCAAAGCCAGAGACATACAACCTACATTGTATACTAAAACATCTTGCAACTCCCGTCAACACTACTTTACACTATTCGTCACGGTAGAAGTCGAATTTTTTCAGGAAACTAAAAAAGTATTGATTATACACAACATTAAAAAATCAAATACTTCTTCCATCTGATACTCCAAACTGCCTCAAACACCAGGAAAAAGAAACTTACCTCCACCCATTTCTTAAAAGCCTAAACAAAAAAGTTCGTCCTTATATCTTGCCCAACAAGCAAGAAAGCGAACTTAACAGAAATCCTAACAGCGAAAGGTTAGTGCTCTTGCGCCTTCTAAAAATCAAACATAAATTTGCAAAAAGTAGCTAAATGGGGAGAAACTCAATTTAACGAACAGCATGTTTTACATCCCCTTACTTCCTACATCTAGCAGCGTTTGCTAAAATGAGTACATATCTTTGTCTTGAGGAGGCAGCGACAATTGGATTTTGCCAATATTTCCTTTTTCAGTCTTTCTGGTAAAAGGAAAGGCAACCTCCATTTACAAAAAAAAAAACCAAAAAAACAATTTAAGCAATCCGAGACAATGATTAAAAAATTTACGTCTTTGAAATGGAAGACTAAATGAAAAATTAGGTTGGACGATTATATAGAATAGTTGGAAAAAATGACATTAAATATCATATTCATGTGGAAAAGATACTTGAACTTCGACACTCGTTTTTACGAAAATATAAACGAAAAAAAAAGACTTTTTCGTACAAGCCAAAATAATTTTAAAAAAGAGGGTAAAAAAAAAACTTTTGGGGGATAAGTGCTAGAAATAATCAGTTACTCCCATCGATACCAATACCAACGAATGGAAGGCAGGAAGGAAACGACCAACAACAGATTTAAGCTAGCTTACTAGCTCCACCACCTGAATGTAGCAATGCTTGCAAACAATATTAAGTTTCCATAACAAACGTTACGATCTCAAATAATTTTTCAAAGAATTCAGTTACTTTCTGTGCTTATTTTTTATACTGCACTTAATTATTACTGCAGTCCAATCATTAGTAATACTTCTATACAAAATATTTACGTTATTAACTAATAAAGCATTAACCGTCATCGCTCGCTATTCAGTGCACTTTTCCTCACATTCCTATGCACAGTTTGTTTGTATGCTCCATTATATTCCTACACATCACATCAGCGCTGTCATCTGATACCTCGGGCAATCTCTAGTTCGATAACTTAAAAGCAAACATTAACAAATAAAAAAGCAAATACGATTTAACATGTCAAATGATGTAGAGCTTTTAATGAATTTGACATAAACGTATATTCGGTCTCCCTTTTTTCCAGGTGTGAGGAAGACTTAAGGAAGTTTTTTTCTTTTTTTTGCTCATGATAATGATTTGCATATGAATTTTCCACGAAAATACAGATACAGAAATATAAACTCTCCAATTCCTTTTGTTAGTTCCATTTTTCATCAAATCTCGTCATTTTAAAATTTTGCCTTAGAAAAGGTTGAAACTAGAGAATTTTAGAAAAAAAATTCAACGCATATTTCAAGTATCTTAGTAGTCATCATTGCTTTGCCAAGAAAATGGACTGATCAGAATTCTGAAAATGAACAGTGAAGACGTAAAATTAGTAAAAGTGGTCCAAAATATACCAAAAATAAGAAATGTATTCTGACGTGTTTGCATGTATCCTGCACAAATTTGCCCTAACTTTTGCAGGACGAATTAACATTGCAAACACTCTGCAACCAAAACAACAACTAACAAGACACTTTTCCATTCAACAAAGCCCACAGTGGTATAACAATTTTTTGGTTGTGAATCGATGTCATACTAATCTATGCCACATATTTTTATATCCTGAAAAAGACTCGAATCTCCGGAATACTAGTTATCCTTCACATATCATAAACTGCTATTTGAAACACAACTAGAAAAGCAGAAAACATACTAAAATAGACAAAAATTATAGAATTCTCATGTATGACATTCTTCCAAAACACCTGACCTATGAACAGTGAGTTTGCACACGGTGAAGAAGGGAAAAAGTAAGTAAATTGTTGCACACATCCAGGAAATTTTATGCAATCAAACGAAACAATTTCAACTGTCCTTATTTTAATTTTCTTTCGAAAAGGTCACCGTGAATCTTTGATCGGATCTGTCATTGCTGCGTTACTGTGTGCGAAACACTACATCACATTAATTTACCGGGCATTCACCTAATGAATCCAATGATATTTAACAGTAAATGTCTGACAATATCGAAATTATATATGTATAAGTCTATACATATTGATTATGTATATAATTTTAAAAAAAATTATATATATATATATATATATACTTATTTGTAAAATAGAAAAAATAGTAAGGATTTTACCCTATTGCAGACCCTTTCTATTAC